CACTTTGCAGCTTGTATGCCCTTCCATCTTCTGATATCCGACTGTCAGACCTGCTAATCTGTATGATCAGCTCCCAAAGGCATGTATCATCATGGGCGATCTGAACGGACACAACCCGCTTTTGGGAAGTGCCCGTACTAATAATAAAGGTAAAATCCTTGAGTAATTCATTACAGATAATAACCTATGTATATTCAATGACGATTCAACCACCTATTTACATCCAGCTACGGGAACATATTCTTCCCTAGTTCTGTCACTCGCCGATTTCATCTTATATAATGGATTTGAATGGATGGTCCATGATGACCTATGTGGGAGTGACCACTTCCCCACCATTCTCAAAACAATCAACCCTTGTGATGATCTACCGTTATCATGAAAGAACATCGCCAGGGATGATTGGTCATTATATGAGACTGTGTTGAACACTTAAAACATGACCTATTTAGGAACAGTAAAGATCAATTTCAGTCGTTTTCTGATATACTTAATGCCATTGCTGATAGAACAATTACACAGTCCTCTGTAATTCCACATATTCGTAAACAATGGTGTGATAATGAATGCAAGCAGGCCAGAAAGTGTAGGAAGAAAGTATTTTCACCGATATCCTTCCGTGCATAACTTACATACAGTAAAACTTTTAAACGCCAAGACTCGACGCGCATATAAACAGAATAAGCGTCAGTCTTGGAGAAATTATACTTCCAAACTAAATTCACATACACCAATTTCAAAGGTGTGGAATATGATACAAAAGGATTAAAGGCTCTACATCTACTTTTCACCACTTTACAGAGGGTGACAATTTACAAAGTGATAAAGGTGACATTGTGATCAAAACTTGATGAAACTCTCGCCAAGTATTCTTCAACGTCAAATTATGTCCCTGAGTTTAAAAATATAAGAAACAACAGGAGAAGAAAAGAATAAATTATAAAACGGATAATGTCGATTCAATATCCTTTTGGAAATATTTGATCAAATATGGACTTCAGGGAATTCCCCACCTTCGTGGCATAATGCCATTGTAGTCCCTATTCCAATGCCTGACCGGGATCATACAGATCCTTCTAATTACAGACCCATAGCTCTAACCAGCTGTGTCTGTAAAACCATGGAACGAATGGTAAACAATAGATTAACATGGCATCTTGAAACCAATAACATTACAACAAATATTCAATGTGGTTTCAGAAAAATCGAAGTACCATTGAACATTTGGTATGATTAGAATCTTTTTGTTTGTTTTGCTATAGAATCAAAACAACATGCAGTATTGATATTCTTTGATCTCGATAAAACATATGATGCCACATGGAAGCATGGAATTTTAAAGTATTTACATGACACATATCACAGTTTTAACAGGCAGGCAACTTCAAGTGGGTCGAATCCTGTCTGATCATTTCAATCAGGATCAGGGGGTCCCACAAGGCAGTATTTTGTCTGTCACACTGCTTAGTATCAAGATCAACGGTTTATCAAAGGTTTTTAATGAATCAACTGATGGATCACTTTTTGTGGATGATTCTAATATTTCTTGTCAAGGTAAAAAAAGGCATGCTATTGAACGGCAACTGCAGTTGTGTTTAAGCAAAAAAGATAAGTTGTGTCCTGAAAACGACTTTGAATTTTCTAAATCAAAAACAAATTGTTTTACTTTCTGCCAAGAATATGAACCGCATAAAGACCCAGAACTATTTTAAAATGTCGCTCCCATCAAAGGTGTCAAGGAGGCCAAGTTCTGAGGTCTGATTTCCGACTCAATTTACTTTTCTTCCACATATAAAATACCTCAAAGTCGTTTCCAATTCTAATTTGTGAGGGGACCAAGTACCCTCCTACACTTATACAGGTCACTCCTCCGTTCGAAACTAAATTACGGCTCCATCGTACATGGTTGAACCTGCAAAAGCAATCTAAAACTTTTAGATTCCGTCCACCACAAAGGTCTGAGACTTCGTCTTGGGTCCTTTAGAACTTCACCTGTTAGTCTTTACAGCGAGACTGATGAGCCGCTTTACGAGTCTCACCCTGTAGTTAACTGTGTTTTTAATCCCCTATATGAGGATCTGTACAACAAGAAGTCTTCTCTTGTTCTTCCAGGCGATCCATATCCTGTTTTTATATTGTATCATATGTTTATTGGGATTACACGTTTTTATGTTGTGTTGACATGTATAGTTAAAATGTTTTATATTTAATTACTAATATTACATTTATATCTGTGATAAACTAGTTGTTTTACTGCCCTTCGATGACAGTTGTTTACGTTCAAAATTTATCGATTTTAATATTCATATATATTAAATTGTTCTCGTCGTTGCTAAATATTTATTCACTCACTCGCTCTTGTTCCGCCTCTAGGACTGTGAGTCAAACCTTTCCTTTTTGTTGCTGGCATTGTGCTAGAAAACGTCCTTCTTCCCGCCTTCTTTCTTATCCTCCTTGGCAGTTAGTGAGGCCACAAGCTGACCAAACACTGTCAACGTTTACAAAATCAGAAACTAATGAATATAAAGAAGAATTTAATCAACTAAAAAGTAAATATACATGTAATGCATGCAAATCCTTATTTACAGATGGGTCCAATGATGGTGGCACCGTGGTTTGTGCCACTGTCATTGAATCAAGAACAGTATCTTCTAGAATACCGGTCACGATATGGCTGAAATATTAACTTTAACTCTAGAATACTGGATAGCAGCTCTATTTTACAGTCAACGCCACATTAAAGGCTCTTAAACATATATTTTTATAAAAACACTAATAAACATAAGCAATATATAATCTGTTCAGACTCACTTTCGTGCCTTCAAACATTCACTTTTAATTGAAATTATTGAATTGTATAGTGTCCAAATCTGAAGAGGTGATCATGTCTGTCGTATTGGCCATACCAGATTTACCCATGAATACCTGTTAAAAGGCAAGGATCCTCCGTTTTGTATCCCTTGTGGTGAAGGAATCACGGTCAGGCTTGTCCTGCTTTGTATTGATTTTTTCATGACAAGGGATAAATATTTCAATGTCAAAACCGTTAAGGACCTTTTCACTAATGTTAATTATCATTTAATCAATGACATTCAGTTGATGAAGAAATATAATTGATTGATAAATTTTGATTAATATGTTTTGTGAAGAGATAAATGATATTTATCATCCAAAACTGTGTTCTACAGTAGATTTTGTACAAAACCCTGACAATGCTATGACGTCATGAACCTGATGACGTCACAAGGCTATGACATCACTGCACTGCAAGCCTAATGTCAGTACCGTGTTCAGAGATGCACATTTTTTATTTAAGACTAATAAAGAGTGACTTTTCATGATAAATAGAATCTCACACTCGTGTCTACAGATAACAATTATATCAACACTTGTTGATAAAAACATCATTACTTTATCAACTCGTGTTGACATAATTGATATCAGTAGACACTTGGGTGAGATTCTCTATGTAATCGGTAGAATAAATTAGCAATCGAGATAGTTAGTGGCTGTATCCTTACAGGGGGAGAGGGGGTGTTTAAAGTATTGTACAATATTGTCCTCCTGAGAGGGTACGTAAGTCCCAAAACTTTTAAAGTCAATTTAGCTCAACCAAGCTTTTTAATCGTAGCAAATTCGTTTGTTATAATGGCTAAATATCAGTACAATCGCCAGTGGCTGAAAGGATGTCAACACATAGCTGGATATTGTTAAAGGTCACATGCAACGTAAAACACAAATTTGCAGATTCTGATACCTTTCTGTATGGACTTACCGAAACAAATCATCAAAAATGCAAATTCAACTTATAAAGTTGAAAAATAATTTCATTTGTCTATTTCACCACACGTTCTTCTTACCGAGTCACTTTCTCAGTTCCATACTTAAAAGCAATGTCATTAATTAGCGTTGACAGAATTACTAACTGTGATATAGATATGTCGTTGTCACAGACAAAACTCAATATTTGTTTTATTGACACCTATGTGTCTGTCTGCCTGTCTGCTAATGACAATATTCAATACACAACTTCGATCACTGACCACATGCAATTTGAACTTAACACCTATCAGGCTATACACCATAAACAAAACGCATTGATTTATGGCTCGAGTTCGGTCTCTGTCACATTATGTAATTACACAGACAGGCAGGTGTGATACCTGTACACATCACATGTTATGATGTCTGTTGATTGCAAAATGTTATACACAAAAAATGAGCATGTATTTACAAAACCCAGCATCTCTATATATACACACACAATGAGCCGTGAGGGCGTCTGCAAATGAACAAGCCGTTACACTTGAGTGCACACCCACCCGCTCTGACTGGGTTCGGTATCCCGGCTGCTTCGTTTCTTGGGAAGTAAACCCAAGGACAAAATAATGCACTTTTGATTTGCGATTGTACGCTTATAATTTTATTTATATGTTTTTCTCATAATCAGCAATGTATATTATATGTCATGAATAAGTGATAATTGTGTTTTAATTATGTTTCAAATTTTGGTTGCATGTGACCTTTAAGTGAAGGGTTAAACGACAAAAACACAAACAAATAAGGACAGGGTAGATTCAGAACCATACTATTTTCTACTCCTAAGACAGTAACAATGCATTGTCAAACAGGTGAGACACTATTGGGGAAAAACGCTTCATTTTCTTCTACTTCTATTTTCGACCCGTGATGGGTTAAAATTGATCTTCAGTAACCAATCCTTGTCGTGAGAGGCAACTAACGGGATCGGGTGATCAGGTTCGCTGACTTGGTTGACCCACGTGTCCTTGTATCCCAACTTCGTAGATCGATGCTTATGATGGTGATCACTGGGTTGTCTGGTCCAGACTCGATTTTTTACAGACCGCCGCCATATAGCTGGAATATTGCTGTGTGCGGTGTTAAACAACAAACAAACCAACTTTACTACACCCTGCATCGTCATGGGCCTCCATCTTCAACTCTTCACCAGTCCGATCTTCAAGATTTATTTGACCAACTACCTAAACCCTGTATCATAATGGGTGATCTCAATGGACATAACCCACTGTGGGGAAGTACTGATACCAACAACAAAGGGAAAAGTCTTGAAGATTTTATCTCTCATAATAATTTATGCATATTCAACGACGGCTCTAACACATATTTACATCCTGCAACGGGTAAATATTCTTCGTTAGATTTGTCAATCACTGATTCAAATGTTTATAATGAATTCGAATGGTCAGCCCATAATGATCTTTGTGGGAGTGACCTTTTTCCAACAGTACTTACAGCAATTAACCCTACCGATGATCCTCCTTTAGCAAGATGGATTTTTTCCAAGGCTACCTGCCTCGAAGAACTCAAACCTGACCTTTTCATGGATGTTCCTGATCCAATTAAAAAGTTTTCTGACAAACTAAAACATATAGCTGATGACATTATTCCTAAGTCCTCTGTAAACCCACACATACGTAAAAACCATGGTTTAATGACGAATGCAAACAAGCTAGGAAAAGTAGGAAGAAAGCAGAGAAATATTTTCGCTGCCATCCTACAGTACATAACTTAAATAATGTAAAAATCAGTTATGCTAAAGCTCGACGAACGTTTAAGCACATTAAGCGTCATACTTGGAAAAATTACGTTTCCAAAATAAATTCCCGTACTCCTATGTCAAGAGTATGGAATATGATCCAAAAAATCAAAGGCAAGGGTTCCAAATCTAGTGGTATTCAACATCTCAAAGATGATAATGACATCCTAACTGCAAAATGTGATATTGCAAATAAGTTGGGTGAAACTTTGGCTGAACATTCGTCTTCCTCAAATTATAATACAAAATTTCAGGCTTATCAAACACAACAAGAAAAGAAAAGGTGAATTTTCAATCTGATAATGGTGAAGATTATAATGAGGTCTTTTCATTACATGAACTTCACACTGCTTTATCACAAGCTCATGATACTGCAACGTGACCTGATGATATCCATTACCAACTTTTAAAACACCTGCCTGAATCTTGCCTGGAAACTTTACTTAACATCTTTGTCCATATTTGGATAACGGGATATTTTCCTCCTTCATGGCGAAACGCCATAGTTGTTCCTATCCCAAAGCCTGGCAGGGATCATACAGATCCATCTAATTATCGACCTATTTCCTTTACTAGCTGTGTTTGTAAAACCATGCAGCGAATGGTCAATAATCGCTTAGTTTGGTTTTTAGAAACCAACAATCTAATCACTGATATACAATGTGGTTTCCGTAGAAACCGAAGTACAGTTGACCACTTGGTTCGTTTGGAATCATTTGTTAAAAATTCTTTTATTAAAAAACAACATGCTGTATCCATCTTTTTTGATCTTGAAAAAGCTTATGACACCACTTGGAAGCATGGTATTTTAAAAGATTTACAAGCTTTTGGGTTGAGAGGTCGCTTGCCTCAATTTATAACTAATTTTTTATCCGACAGACAGTTTCGAGTTCGTGTGGGATCAACCTTGTCAGATTTCTTTAATCAAGACCAAGGTGTTCCACAGGGCAGTATTTTGTCTGTGACTTTATCTAGCATTAAGATTAATAGCCTTTCAAAGGTTTTAAGTGATTCAGTTGATGGATCACTATTTGTGGATGATTTTAATGTTTCTTGTAGAGGTAGAAATATGCATACAATAGAGAGACAATTACAACTTTGTCTCAATAAAATCGACAAATGGTCACTTGAAAACGGATTTAAATTTTCTATAGCAAAACTAATTGTATACATTTCTGCCGAAAATATAAACCGCATAAAGCTCCAGAATGATTTTTAAATGGCACCCTATCAAAGTTGTAAAGGAGGCCAAGTTCTTGGGTCTTTTTTCGACTCACATTTAACTTTTCTGCCACACATTAAATCACTTAAAGCCAAATGCCTGAAGGCACTTGATCTGTTAAAAGTTGTTTCAAATTCTAAGTGGGGTGGGGACCAAACTACCCTACTACACCTATATAGATCTCTCATCCGGTCGAAACTTGATTACGGCCTGTACAAGCAATCTCAAAATACTTGATTCAATTCATCACCAGGGTCTAAGACTGTGTCTTGGGTCTTTCAGAACTTCTCCTATTGACAGTCTGTACGTTGAGGCTGATTAGCCATCTCTTAGCCAACGCCGTATAAAATTATCCTTACAGTATATAACCAAATTATATTCTCACGAGTCTAACCCTGCATTTAACTGTGTTTTTCATCCTCTTTATGAGGATCTCTGCAATAAAAAGTCTTCTCTTGTTCCGCCTCTGGGACTAAGAGTCAAAACTTTCATTTCTGCTGCTGGTATTGAGCTAGAAAATATATCGTCTTCCCGTCTGTTTTCTTCTCCTCCTTGGCAGTTAGTTAGACCAGAAGTTGACCTAAATTAAGAATCCTCGCACAGGGCTAACTGGCGCGCTGTTCTATCGATGTGTCTGCCCCCTACGTTCAGACGAACGTTACCAGAAAAAACAAATGATAACAGTTTGATGACGGTTTACGTTCGGATTAAATATCTTCTCTGAATTATTTTAATTACATCTGTCATTAACGTAAATTCTAAGATGCCTAGCGGTTAGAACAATCGAAAAAAGAATACATTATCAGACAATAAAGGTATAGTTTTTTGATGACGTAACAATTAAATGACGTTATCCCGTCACTGCGCCATTCTAGTGTGCCCCCTCGTAATCGAACCATTTTACATTACGTCACAATGTAAGCGACGTCACGATGCATGTCAGTTGTCATCGCCTCGTACGGCCTCCTACAGTACTCTTTACTCTAATGTATTCTTTTTCGATTGTTCTAACCGCTAAGCATCTTAGAAGTGGATGTAAACCTACTACCATTTTAATCGTAGAATATATGTTCGTTTAATTTGTGGCTAGATTTTCTAAAATTGCTAATAGCTGAAGGGATGGTGTAAATCCACCTAGGGTCCATGCAGGAACCAAATATACTGTAAGTCCCCATGGTCTCTAGTATGGTGATCTACCTTCAGTTGTTGGCGATATATAGCCTATTTTTATATTGTGTTGTCACCCATAGTTCAAATATTTTAGTGGTTTAACTGTCCTTTGCTGACAGGGTTTTATATATTATATGTATGTATTATGAATTTAGAACTAGTTTTAGTCACGATATGGCTGAAATATTGCCGATGTGACTTTTAATCTTAACTCACTCACTCACTCACTCGTCATGGGCAAGTGGAATATAATTGCGACTGTCTGTGACAGTTTATTTGTAAATACTGTTCTAGTTCTCTCAATCTTTGAATTATGTCTAATTCACGGTGATGGGGTTAAACTCTTTCTCTTGCTTACTATCGAATAGTGGGAAATAGTTTTAAGCATATGTCTGTTGTAGTGGGGGACTGGGACCATGTATCTTTATATATTATAAGCACCCTAAATACACCTATTATCTCGCCTCTATCCCTGCACTTTACTATGACGATAAACTGTTGAAAACGTCAAGTGTTTCGGAAAATATTGCCCTTTTTAAATGTTCATTATATTTTCTTGCTCACTGTAACGCCAGTCTAATTACGTATTCTGAACATCCTCGAAGGGGGTTAAAGCACTGTAAAATTATTGTTCTCCTGAGAGGGTACCTACGTCCCAAAACAATTAAAGTAAATGTAAACTTTCTACTATTTTTAATAGTAATAGAGCTATATATTATTTTAATGCGTGGCTAGATTGCCCAAAATTGCTAACATCTTGAAGGGATGGTGTAAAACCCAGCTAGGGTTCATGCAAGAAGCAAATGTACCACAAGTCCCCATGGTCCCTAGCATGGTGATCTACCTTCAGTTGTTGGCAATCTATAGCCTGTTTTAATATTGTATTGTCATTTATAGTTAAACATTTTAGATTTAATTACTAGTTTTAAATTTATATCTGTGATAATCTAGTTGTTTTACTGCCCTTTGCAGACAGGTAAGTATATTATACAAATTTGTTTTTATTCATTTATTAATTTACAAGTTTCATAGTCACGATATGGCTGAAATACTGCCGATGTGACTTTAAATTTTAACTCACCCACGTATTCTGAACAGCCATGAGCCAGCATTATTTAAGTAGTTTGTAATGCTCAAATCGTATACTTTGTTACGCGGATCAGAACATCTCGTGATTTCCCTCTCTCCAACCTTCTCCCCCTTTCCAACTGAAACGTGATAGCCCCGAATCGTGACCCAGAATGGCCGATACTCCTTGCAGGAAAGAAGTCCAGGTGTATGTTTACGGGCACAGCCACTGATCCACGAATATTTATTTCCACCACCTCCCAAGATAACAAAATCAAAACCTTGGTCATTTAATTCGCCCGTGTTGAAGTTTGCATCATGGCAGGTTTTCACTTTGAAGATGATTCTGAAGTTGATGTAGATGGACTTCAGTGTTTCAGTTGTCAGTTGTACATTATTGAGGTAATCGGTGGCGGGAATTTCTTTTCGGATCCAAGGGCCTGTAACGGTGATTAATACCCATCAAGGCAAGTAATAACTCGTCCAACAAACAGTATGACATTTATCTGACTGCCGTATTCCATAAAAGCAGTCCTACCAGCCTTTCAGAATATAAATAAAAGCGCAAGGATATTATATATCATTTCAATCACTTTCCGAGCAAAGTAATGTCTTTTTTAATATTTTATCCCGTTGTTTCAGGTTTTTGAAAGTGCGTGTATGATTATGCAGGTTCATTAATAAACAATGCACTGCTTTCCATTGTATTATAAACCGACAGTCACGTCAATATTGTCCCTCTGCCCCGGGATATTACTTCAATAATACTTGTTTTGAAGATTGATATAACTTTGTCTTACTATCACTAAATGCGATCGTAAAACATCACATTATTAAAGAAATTCCAACATAAAGTGCCGATATCTGGTTTCGAACCTGCAACCCTTCGCCTATTAGCTTGGCGGTTTTATCCACTAGGCTACGAAGGATTGCTGTGAAGAATACGATTCTCAGCATGAACCGTGTGTTCCTCACAAGACGGGTAGTGCGGGCAGCGCAAGTGCAGGAAACGGGTAGCGCGTGCATTGCGCGTGCAAGACAAGGTGTCGGCTGCCAGTCTCATCCCAGTTGATTTCAACGATAAATACCAAATATTGAAATTTTATCTTCTGTCGGTTTATAAGTTGGATATAACACGACCCGTGGGCATTATTAAAAAGTAAGGTTTTTTTCAATAATGTCCGCGAGTCATGTTATATCCTACACATATAGCGTAAGGGTTGCGAAAAGGAGTATGGAAAGGAGCCACGACATCTAGACTAAATCCTTCTTACCCTAACTCAAATTAGGCCGTGGCCACACCAGGCCATACCAGTCCACACCAATGAGGGCGTGATATCCACATTTCAACCGATAAGCATTTAGGCTTATCACTGTATCATACTCACAAGATGCGCACTCGACTGGACCTCATGAAGTAAATGAGGATGTTCTCCATAACTCAACTGACCTCACCTGAACAATTAAGAGGCGCACGGCTCCATGTAAGGTTTGTAAGACATGTAGTGGACACCATATATGTATCAGCGGAAGTGTCGACGAAACCATGTCGGCATGTGTAGTTTCGGACACTTCCAACCATTTGCAGGCCATCACTGACGATGGCGTTAGTTACAGACGGAGGTGGATGGGGACATCTCGACGTTTCTGCAGCTTCAACTGGAAGATTAATATACATCCTTTTTATAACGTGTGGACAACAATTTGTCACCATCAATTTATCATGTGCAACATGTTATGAGTCACTTAGTCTTACACTAGGAGTAAATTTGCACTACCGCTGGAGGTAGTGCAAAAGTAATGTTGCATATATGTAAATTAACACCTAATGTAAGCGTCTCCATGTAAAGTATACCACTATGGCACCTTTGTAGTGAATATCAAGGCGCTTCCTCACTGGAGTTGAGTCTTTGTGGAGAAAGGGTTGAATTCTTCTCAAAGAAGGTCAAATGTAGCTTCAGACATTCGAAAATTTTCAACCCATTCATTTTCTGAAAATTGTCATTTTGACAGTGTTTTGCTACCAATGACTTGATCTCACTTTCTTCCAAACATCTCTGTGTTCTATAAAGCCAAAATAAGTGCAGAGTTCAGAAGCAGAGGAAAATTTTGATACTTTTGCACCAACATATATCTCTCCATCACAAGCTTGCCTCAGATGTCGAAAACTCAAATAAAAAGTGTCCATGTAAACGGGATGAATTATTGCGTTTACATGGACACATTTGTATACGTCAGTAAATATACACACGCGTGTAAATTTACTCACGTATGCAAATGGGTCCATGTTAACGGGGTGTTGTAGATTATCTCCTTACCAGTTGTCAGTGCAACAACAGGGGTGCAGACAGGGACCCTTGTCCTGTACACAATACACTCTTCGTCCACGTTACACTGCACTCCTGAACAGGGACCGAGGATAGACTAAATAGAAGTCAAACAATAAAGTGAAAAAAAATGCATGAGCAAACATTTCAAATTACTATCGTCTTGTAATTAGTAACAGAGGTTTCAACATGTTAATTCTTTAGGCTAATCCCAGAACGAGCATTCAGTATCATGGCAAGGTTTAACCTCGATGAAAGGCAAGAATGTCTTACAAGTCCATAATGTAGATAAAGTTGCAATTACCAATGCCTTAAGCAGAATAAGCGTCTGTCTGGAGAAACTGTGTTTCAAAAATACATTCTGGTATGTCATTGTCAAAGACCTGGAAAATGATACAAAGGATAAAAGGCGAAGCGAAACTCTAGCCAAACATACTTCATTAAAACATAACAAACAAGAGGAGGAGAGAATTTCAACTGAGACAGTGGTGAAGCATTATAATGAATTATTTTCACTAGATAAGCTACATAACGTCCTTGAGCAAGCTCATGTACAGCAACAGGGGCTGACAATATACACTGTCAGCTCTTGACTTGAAGTATTTGCCTGCATAATGTATGGAAACTCTTCTAGATGTATTTCACCAAATATGGACTTCAAGGAATTTGCCACCTTCTTGGCATAATGCCATAGTAGTGCCCTTACCAAAGCCTTGCCAGAATCACACAGATACTTCTAATTACATACCAATATCTTTAGCTAATTATAACCCATGCAACCAGTTGTAAATAATAGATTATTCTAGTATCTAGAAACCAATAGCCTTATCCTTATGATTTCCGGACAAAAATAAAAGTAATATTCATAATTTAACCTAGAACAACAAATAGTAAGTTACAATTCTCATTTCATTTTTTGAGGCCTACGATACTAATTGGAAACCCGGCATTTTAATGGATTTGCATTGAGGTCACAAATGGTCACTTGAAAACGATTTTAAATTTTTCTGAATCGAAAAAACTAATAAAATATAGGCCGCATAAGGACCTGAACTACTTGATTCTGTCCACCACTAAGAATTTTTCCGTTTATAGTCTTTGTGTTGAGGCAGATGACCCTTCGCTTAAACAACGCCGCCTTAAATTGTCTTAATTGCAAAACTTTGAGTAATCCAAACCAACATTCAAGTAGGCACCCGTGAAGAGCCACCTCCTCGTGGTGGGTGCTGGATAACGCTAAGCGCTCTTCAACCCCCCGTTGTGGACCCGGGGGTATATTTGGTCCACCAACCCGTTTGCCGTGGGTTGCGCCCCTGTGTCGGTGGAGGACGGAGTTCTGGTGGTAGAGGGCAATAGGATCCTGGAACCGTGTTCCTTTAGCCCAACACACCACTTTGCCCTTACTTCACCTAGACGGGTGGTAGAACTGGCCCGGTTCTACCAATCGGCTGGTCAAGCCAAGCACTGTGCATGGTGAATATTTTTTTGCACATTTTAGTCATATTTGGGTGTTGGCTTTTTCAATTTCCAATTTACAAATTATCAATATATTACAATGCCTAGAGTCCTGTGCCAGAAGGAGGTGGCTCATTGGCCAATCTGGTGATGTTGACCTCCAAATTCAGTATGTGTCCAATTTCTTGTCATGTGCAAGAACCAGCCTGATATTTAATTGGTATACAAATATAGCTATTTGTGTCATACTCGCTGGAGTATAACATCCCTGTATCCCTGGTGTCGGCATCTTGGAGATTCGGTGCTATTTGACATCGTCCTTGTTGACACTCCATGGTGGGTGGGGAACAGGGGTGCTGAATCTTTTTTCCTTTCATTATGTCAACCCAACAAACTGGTTCAAATCGCAATGAAAAAAAGTGACGATTAGACGAACTAGATCGTTCAAATGAAACAAATCCTTCAAACGTTGATTCATGGCCTCGGTTTCTTGTGATTGAAGCTACAGACTTTCTGCCGATCAAATTAAAAACCGTTTGCCATTTCCAAGGCTATTTCCGGAATTTGTGGAGAGGTGCAAAATGTTACCCGTCTCCGTAGTGGATCGCTTCTTGTGGAGTGTGCACGGAGACAGCAATCTCTCAATTTGTTGTCAGTCAAGATTTTTGCCAATATCGAGGTTGCTGTGTCCGTGCACAGAACGTTAAACTCTTGCCGAGGTATCATACGAGACAGGGCTCGTTGTCTCTATAATATGTCAGAAGAGGACATAGCTGCAGAGCTTGAAAATCAAGGTGTCACGGCGGTAAAACGTTTCACTTTTAAGAAAGAGGGCATCATCACTAAAACGAACACCTATATGGTGACCTTTTCTCGATCTTCCCTTCCAAAATCTATTAAAGCAGGTTATTTTAACATCGGAGTGGATGTGTATGTCCCCAATCCGCTCCGATGTTACAAATGTCAACATTTCGGTCATGGATCTCAGTCATGTGGAAACTCTGTCTTGTGTCACCGTTGTGGTGACAACCATGAGAATACCACTGACTGTCAGAAGGATTATAAATGTGTCAACTGTAACGGTCCACATTCTGCGTCATCCAAGTCCTGCCCTGTCTATCAAAGGGAGTCACAAATCATGAAAATTTCAACTGAAAAACACATCTCGTACTTTGATGCCAAAAAACTATGGAGTCATCATTCCACAGCTCCGTCAACTGTCACATACTCTGCTGCTGTCACTCGTTCTGCAGAAATGTCCTCTACTCCATGTCAGACTGACTTGACTTGGGTCAAGTCAGCTCAACCTATTTCTTCAACTTCAGCCCCGAAACCAACTACAACAGTCACTCAATCTTCGTCTAGTTCTCAGACAGATGAAACTGATCCCGAGACACCATCAAAACCAGCGAGCAATCATTACAAAAAGAAGAAAGGAAAGCAATTAACAAGAGACAAACTACATACTGTCCCTTCACCTTCAGAGGTTCCAACACAGAACACATTCGGGCCTCTTGATATGGAGATTACACTGTCCTCAAAGGACAAGAGGAGAAATAGTTCCTCCTCACATTCCCGTGAACGATCGCTAATTGAGCCACCATGACTCAATTGTCGACCTTAATGCAATGGAACTGCAGAGGACTTTAAAGAGATACAATTATTAATACAAAAGTTTAAACCTTCAGCATTATGTCTACAAGAGACATATTTAAAAAATACAGATAACTTTAATTTAAGACAGTATAGTGATTATCACTCTTTTTCACCTCCGGGAGATAAAGCAACAGGAGGTGCATCCATTTTGGTACGACAGGGTATAATACATAGCCCTGTCCCTCTTAATACCAATCTCCAAACTGTAGCTGTTCGTATTACACTGCACATGGCACTCACGTTGTGTAGCTTGTATATCCCCCCGTCTTCTGATATTCGACTGTCGGATCTGAAGAATCTATATGATCAGCTTCCGAAGCCATGTCTCATCATGGGCGATCTGAACGGTCACAACCCGCTTTGGGGAAGTGACCATACTAATACTAAAGGTAAAACCCT